TTTTTTTTTTTGTTTGATATCAGCTAATCTATCATTCAGTTTGGTGATATATTTTTAGGTCGGTGACTGTCGTCAAAGAACGTCCATCTTCGCTCAGCCAAGCCACCGGTGCTTTGTTGAAGCGTAGTGCCTCGCTTGACTCTCGATTCCACAGTTTCCCACTGTTCGGAAGAAGATCTAATGCAGCGTCTGAGAAAATTCAAGTCCGTTTAAGTCCAAACTTTGGACTTGTTGAAGAGGAATCGTCTAAGCCGCTTCCAGTAAATGTAGAAGATGTTATTAATTATACCGGTAATACTGAATTAAGTCCTGATTCCAGTTTTCTACCGGAACGACCCTTCGTACCGTCAATTGGTCAACGAGGAAAACTTGAACACGAATTACTAGTTGAAGCAGAAGATTTTGTACCTGTATCTAAACGAAGGTTACATTTCTCACAGCCACAAGACCCTAAATTACTAGAACCTCGAGTAGCAACACTCGTTAAACAACCTGAACTTTCTGAAACTTCACCGATTCAGCAGTCACCCTTAACTGCTACACAAGCAACAGAAACTGTTATTCCGCGATTCAAATCTGCGGCAGCATATACAACTTCTGCTGTAGTTGCTCCATTCGCTGTACTTTCAGAACGTCCATTAAAAACAGCTCCAGTTTCACCAAAAGTTGAAGAGCCAAAGGAACTTGAAAACAAAACAGCTTTTTTTTCACCTCCGCGGCCCACTGCTGTTTTTTTTGCGGATCCCAAGGTTCTTCAGAGTAACAATTCCTCAAGAGCTCTCCAATCTCCTTCAAGTGACACATACCGAGATTTCCAAGCAGCTGCGTATCAAAGTTCAAAAACTGATTTTCAATATTCTCCAGCAAAGAATCAGCAAAAAGTTGTTCCTGATACTGACGTGAGGCCAAAACCAGTAGCTGTTTCCTTCAACTCACCACTGCCAGATTACGCATATACTGTCAAAAGTACTTCGCATCAGCCACTCCCTAGACAAGTGAAAGAAGTCCTTTTAACTAGTTCATCTGATACAGGAGCGGCTGGAGGAAAATCTTCGGTTGCCGACGTCAGTGGTGGTAATAAGAGTGCGGACTTAACAGGTGATACACCGTTCAAAAAGTTTAAAGCTGAGACTTCTAGGAAATCAAGAACTTCAATAGTACGGAGAGAAAGTGCAGCTTTAAGATTCTTCAGAAATAAACAGATTTCCGCCGCCAAAGAAGCGGAATCAACAGAGCCAGGAGTGTATTCTGCACCCACTTCAATTACTACACCCTCCCCAATATCCGCTGAATTGCAAGGTATTACGGAAGCTGAAGAAGGAAAACCAACGGAACCTGTTGTTGTACAGAGTACTCTAAAGTCATTAAAAGTTACTAAAGAGACTCCTTCTAAAGAAACTCCCGCAGTCCAGTCTACATCGTTTAGTAACTCTCCAAATATTGTTGAAACACCAAAGTCTACCACTCAGGCGGTTCGACGATTCCCTGTGGTCAAAACTACGGAGTTTCGAAACAATCCACTGAGAAAGATGCCAGTTGGCGAACGATCTTCACCTGCGCAGTTTGCTAAGGAGGAATTTATGGAACAATTAAACGCTGAAGAAAGCCCAACATGCGCACATTGGAATCCACGGCTTTTGATCAACAAACTTTATGAGGTAAGCATTTTAAAGGCGCTATTATCATCATCATCATTATTCTGACATATTAAAACAATTTTTACACTTAGCCATAAATATTTTTATGGCTATCGACAGTATGTGAACTGGTTCTTTCAATGCCCATTTTTCATTTGATAGTTTTCATTTTTTTTCCAGTCATATTCAGTTGTATTTATTTATCACTTTTTTTCCAACGTAGAACTGTTCATTACAGTTACAGTTAATACTTTAAATGATCGTTACAAAATATACTTCTGTTAAAATGACGCTCATATATTGCGTTTAGGTGAGCTATGAACCACGAAAAGAATCCAAGTTAAATCGATTCGTTAATATGGAAGGTCATCTGGAAGTTCCGGTTGACGATGACAATGTGATAGCTGCTGAATTGCAGAAGAAATGGACGCAAAAATATTTTAGAACCAAAGAGGGTCGTCTCCAGTGGTTTGCGGTAAATATTTAATGAACAGCTGATTGAGCATCTGATTTAAGGAATGATATGTTACTCTAAATGGTTAGGCAGTTTATTTCGTGTTATTTAAAAGAGATAAAAGGGAAAAAGTTATATGGGTATTGCAATTTTCAATTCTATATTGTGAATTTTTTTGCTTGACGGTTAAAGTTGTTATTGTAATAGACTTTTGAATGTTTAGAGTCATTTTGCTGACGAACATCCGGTTGGGGAAGTTTCTCTTTCTGGCTGCGAAATAGAAGCACGTAAAGATGAGGGTTTGCTGATTGTTAATGGGGATAAGGAAAACTTTAAAGTGATATTGAAGTAAGTTTAAACCATTGACAACAATAGATAAAAATCTTATTTTTTCTATTGTATTTATTTTACTCATACCTTTCTGAAATTTCATTTTTTCAAGGGTATCTCCGCCTGGTAACATCTATGACAAGTGGCGGAGAGCCTTGAACAGTCATACAGGTTCCAAATATACAGATGCATTTATGCATCCAATTTCTCCACCAGTGCAACTAAGCACAAAGGTTTGTTGAAATTTGGCTTTTTGCGATTTTAAAAAGTCACCATTATTTCAAGTTTTCCATTTTTTATTTTTTCTTACTGCTGTAAAGGCACAGTTTGCGATTGAAGGTGACAAATTGGTTTTTTTTTACACTATGTATGTTTTTTATAAGCGTTATAATGTTTTTAAAGAAGTATTTCAGTTAATTGAAAGTCTCTGAACAACTATTTGAAAAATGAATTTTTGATTGCAGCCTGTTTTTATTTTTGAACTGGGTTCTTGTTCGATTCGAGCTGGTGTTTTAACTAAAGAACCATCATTACCACAATGTTTCTTCCCATCAATTGCTGTCAAAAAGAAAGACGGTAGCATAATTGTCGGTATTGATGCATTGTCTCCGGAGGTATAACTGCAATTTTCTATGTTCTTTTATACTATTCAGTTGTTGCCACACTATAAATTAAGAACTAATTGCACGGTCCTCTTCATATAATAATATAATTCTTATGTAGTTTTCATTTTTATTGTTTTTTTCTTTATTTCTGCAGAATCGTCATGATGGCGAACTTGTACGACCAATACAGCCAACAGATCCAGCCTTTGAGAGACTTGTACTGGATGAGGATGTATTAAAATGTTGCTTAGAGAAGTGTACACAACATTTGCGCGTTGATCCTACAAAGTATCGAGTAAGTTTAGCAGAAAAAAAAATTGTATTCGTTGAAAACTTTTCCAGTCTTGAAGTATTTCTGAATTCACTGCTGCAAATAAAAATTTTTATTTGCTTAAAATTGTTGTAATAAAAGTCGTCTTGAAATTTAGTTTTGCTTTGTATTATTCACGTTTCAA